GCATATCTGCCATCGTGGAATGTGCTGACGGGGTGTAAGCTTCATCAAAGGGACATGCATTCAGGGGTTTTTAGGGGAACCATCCAGAGCCCTGGTGAACAGAGCCCAGGGTGACCAGGTCCAGGCTGGGCAGAGTCCTTGGACCAGACCTGACCCTGGCACTCTGGCCATGCCTTCTGTCCTAGGGGAACCTCGTGGCGGTGGGCACACACAAGGGCTTTGTGCAAATCTGGGACGCAGCTGCAGGGAAGAAGCTGTCCATGTTGGAGGGCCACACGGCACGCGTCGGTGAGGAGCCTGGGTCCTGTGGTGGGTTGGCTCCCCAAGGCCCCAGCTCCCCGAGGCCAGGAGACGCTCACCCCTGCTTCTGCCTGGCCTCCAGGGGCGCTGGCCTGGAACGCTGACCAGCTGTCATCTGGTAGCCGGGACCGCATGATCCTGCAGAGGGACATCCGCACCCCCCCGCTGCAGTCTGAGCGGCGGCTGCAGGGCCACCGGCAGGAGGTGTGCGGGCTGAAGTGGTCCACGGACCACCAGCTTCTCGCCTCGGGGGGCAATGACAACAAGGTACGCGCGCCTAGAGCCCGGCTTCCCCTCCCAGAAGCTGCGGCCCTCACGCTGGCAGTGACGGCGGAGCCTGGGCTGGGGACAGGCATGGGGCCCACTCCACAGCCGTCGGCAGGGCCTCGGGCTCGTCCCTCCTGCTCAGCCAGTCCCGCTCTGTAGCACGCGGGGACGAGCGTGTGCCCCCAGGAGTCCTTGGGGGAGCAGCAGGAGGGGCGTGGGGTGGGTACCACGGCAGGTCTTCACTCCAGTGGGGACCAGCGTGTGGGACCACAGGACTGGGACAGCCCCGGCCTCACAGCCCCTGTCCCCCAGCTGCTGGTCTGGAATCACTCAAGCCTGAGTCCCGTGCAGCAGTACACGGAGCACCTGGCGGCCGTGAAGGCCATTGCCTGGTCCCCGCACCAGCACGGCCTGCTGGCCTCAGGGGGCGGCACGGCCGACCGCTGCATCCGCTTCTGGAACACGCTGACGGGGCAGCCGCTGCAGTGTATCGACACGGGCTCCCAAGTGTGCAATCTGGCCTGGTCCAAGCACGCCAATGAGCTGGTGAGCATGGGGGCCCGGCCTCCTCCCACCAGGCCTCGGGGTGTGCATCCCGCCGGCCCTGTGCCATCTGACAGTGGCCGGTGGGGAGATGGGTCAGAGTTGCTCTGAAGGGAGATGGGTGAAGGAGGCGGGGTGAGGAGGCAGGGAGCTCAGTGGGGTGGGGCAGGGCCCCTGGGCCCCATCAGGACCTCCCCAGGACCTCACCTGGGGCAACACTCAGGCTTCTGGGCCCCCTTTGCAGCCACACCTGGTGGCTCTGTGAGGAGCTGGGGAGCTCCAATGGCTGCCTCTGCTCGGAGAGGCGGCCCAGGACGGAGTGGGTTCCGCTGGCACGCTGTCCTGCCCCAGCTTCTCTGGGCTGTGTGTCCCCAGGACAGATGCAGGGATGACTTGCAGGTGGGGCAGAGGGGCTGTGGGCCTTCTGTGGGTCCTTGTTGGGCTCCAGCCTTTGGAAGTGGGTGGGGGGCCGAGCTGTGACCTCCACACTTCCCAGACGGAGCCAGGAGGTGGAGCCACAGCCCGCATCCCCTGCTTCTCCCCAGCTGGCTGGCAGCTCCGAGCTCTCCTGTGGACTCGGGTTGGGTGTGTGGGGGGCAGCAGGTATCACACCCAGCCTCGTTCCCCGCCACGGACCACAGCACTCCCTCCCACCCCGCAGGTGAGCACGCACGGCTACTCGCAGAACCAGATCCTCGTCTGGAAGTACCCCTCCCTGACCCAGGTGGCCAAGCTGACTGGGCACTCCTACCGCGTGCTGTACCTGGTGAGTGCGCGCCGGGCACTTCAAGGTGCCCCGGGATTCTGGAAAAAGTGCCAGCCATGGCTGCTCCAGAGCGCCCCGTCCTGTGTTCCTAGGGAGGACGGTGTGCAGATCTAAAACCCTGCGAGACGCAGTGGCAGGGCTGGCCGTCGGGGCATCCGGTGCTGGTTGAATTGCCAGCGTTGGCCTGGGCTTTACCGACTCCCAGCCCTGCAGGTGTGGGCTCTGTCCTCCTGGAGGACCTCAGCCTCTTCATGTGTTTATTTCCCCCAAAAAGAGGGGTGAAGAGGAAAGCCAGCGGTAACTCACAGCTGACCGGTCAGATGACCCTGTGGACGTCCTGCACAGCAACTGTGTGCACCTGGCTGGAAGGGGGCGGAGGCCTTCTCGTCCTTCTGTGCCCTTACTCGTCAAGGTTTTGTTTCTTCACTGAGAAGTGTTCTCTTTCATCTGTACATCTGACTGTACCCTTCTTCATTTTTGCAGAGTTGACTGTCCCCCCCTTGCAAGGGGATGTTGATGTTTTAGCAAAAATGCTCCAACCTTGGCCAGGTGCAGTGGCTCACGCTTGTATTCCCTGCACTTCAGGAAATCAAGGTGGGAGGATGGCTTGAGCCTAGGAGTTCAAGAGCAGCCTGGGCAACATAGCAAGACCTCATCTCTGCAAAACATTCTTTTAAATGAGCCAGGTGTGGTGGTGTGCACCTGTAGTCGCAGCTACTCAGGAGGCTGAGGTGGGAGGATCACCTGACCCCAGGAGGTCAAGGCCACAGTGAGCCAGGATTGCCCCACTGTACACTTCAGCCAGAGTAACAGAGCCAGATCCCAGCTTAAAAAACAAACAGGCCGGGTGCGGTGGCTCAAGCCTGTAATCCCAGCACTTTGGGAGGCCGAGGCGGGTGGATCACGAGGTCGAGAGATCGAGACCATCCTGGTCCACATGGTGAAACCCCGTCTCTACTAAAAATACAAAAAATTAGCTGGGCATGGTGGCGCGTGCCTGTAATCCCAGCTACTCAGGAGGCTGAGGCAGGAGAATTGCCTGAACCCAGGAGGGGGAGGTTGCGGTGAGCAGAGATCGCGCCATTGCACTCCAGCCTGGGTAACAAGAGCGAAACTCCGTCTCAAAAAAAAAAAAACAAACAAACAAAAACAAAAACAAAAACAAAACAAAACAGGCTCAACCTTGGTTTCTGCCCATGGTGACCCCGGCCTGCCCCTCCTTCCTGGCCCGAGGCTGAGCTCTGCCCATGCAACCTGAGTTGGGGGGCCCAGCCACCCCACACCTTGCTCCCCCTCCTTCAGTCCCCCAGCACTGTCCCAGAGGCACCTCAGAGACCTGGAGACATGGAGTGTTTCCCTCCTGTCCACAGGCAATGTCCCCTGACGGGGAGGCCATCGTCACTGGTGCTGGAGATGAGACCCTGAGGTTCTGGAACGTCTTTAGCAAAACCCGTTCGACAAAGGTAAAGTGGGTCGGTATCAGCGCCACTCGCCCCAGCCCCAGCCCCAGCCCAAGCCCCAGCCCCAGCCCCAACCCCAGCCTGTCCCGGGGCCTTCCCTGTCCCCACTGTGTCCTCGGGCGTACCCTCCCCCGGGTTCCCCCACCTCCGAGATCCCCTCACTTCGCACTCTGGGTCATGTGTCAGGGGTAGTGTGGCAGGCTGAGGCTGGACCAGCACTTCTCAGCCCCTCACCACCAAGCCCCACAGCCTTAGTTTCCCTCCAGGCAGCTTTCCCCGGGGCTGTGGCTCATGTCCCCAACCCCGTGTGTCTGCAGGAATCTGTGTCTGTGCTCAACCTCTTCACCAGGATTCGGTAAACTCGCCGAGCAGGACCGCACCACACCAGCCATCCAGGGCCGGAGGACCCCACCTCCTCAGCTTGCATGGACCCTGCCCTTCCAGCGCTTGTCCCCCGAGGAAGGCGGCCGGGCGGGCGGGGAGCTGGGTCTGGAGGATCCTGGAGTCTCATTAAACGCCTGATTGTGAACCATGTCCACCGGTATCTGGGGTGGGCACGTGCTCGGGGACCCTCAGCATTGGGGGCTCCGTCCCACTTCTCAGAGGGCAAGAACCATGTTGGACGGCCCCAGCTCGGACTGTGAGCTCAAAGCAACGGATGCCCCCTGAGACCCTCACTGCTCCTGTCTATTGGGCACCTGCCCGCCAAGGCCGCATGCTCTTCCTGGAACTGCCCACATCTTCACGGAACAGACCAGACACCCCGGCCCGCCGGTTCACAGCTGCAGCCTCTCTGTGTTGAACCCAAGGCCAGACCAAGACCTGAGGGCCTGTGGATGCAGGAGACGCTTCCCGCCCGGATTCCACCTTGCAGCCACCTCTGCTGTCACTTCTCCAAACAGCGATATTTCTGGAAGCATCTGTGTCATGGCTATCGGCCTGGCAGGCAGTGGGCTTTGGACGGGCCTGTGCGTCCCAGCCGAGCATTACCCTCACACCCGAGGAGGACATCTGCTCTGGACCCGTCACCCTGGGAGAACTGATGCCGGGCCTGCTCACCGCGCTGGCTAGAGAGTGTGACAGGTGCCATGTCCTTGTGCGTTCGCCAACTCGTGCCCTTACGGTGTCCAGCGCCCCCCTTGCCTGTGGTGTGAGACTCACGTCCCCTGAGCCTGCTGGGTGGCTGGGTCTCATGGAGGCCAGCAGTAGTGCAGCTGCTGCCCCTATCTCGGCCTGTCCTGTCCGTCGGCGCTGATGGCCGTGAGGAAGCCAGGGAGACCCGAAGGGTCCAGGAGGTGGGCGCCTTGTCCTTCCTGAAGCTTCTTGTGCTCCCAGGCCACGCGGCAGGCAGGGAGGGAGGCAGGGCCGGGGAGTGGAGCCTGAGCTGAGCACGGCCCCTGCCCGTCCCTCTGCCCCCTCTTCCCATTTCATTGGTAGGGACATGGAGAGGGTGGGGCGGGCTGGGATTGGAGGGTCCCATCCGCCACACTGCTGCACTTGGGAAGCTGCACCCCTCGTGTCCTGACAGCCTGGCGTCCCCAGCGGGGCTGGTGTGCATGTGTACATACGTATTTGTGACTTTTCTTTGGATTTGTTTTGTGTTTTTGTTGACTGGTCCTGGACATGTTTGAGACTGGATGAGGAGGGGCAGGGGGCCTGGGCCCGCCCACTGCTCCTGGGGGTTTGGGGTCCCAGTTTTAAAGCCCCGTCATTTCAAGCGGACCGATCTTCCACGTTCGCTGAAGAGGCTCTCTGGGAAGGTTGTGGACCCGCGTGGCAGTGTGGATTTTGAGTGGTCAAGGTCTTAGTGTTTCTCCGTTTTTGTTTTTTTGTTTTTTTTTTTTAATAAGAAAACAAACCCTGCCTTTGCCCACGCACGCCTGCCCACAGTGGCCTATGCAGTTGCCAAAGATCAGCCTTGTCGCCGTGGGCGCCAGGCCCCTGCCTGCTCAGTGCACAACCTGCGTGGGCCTCCAGTGGCCCCTCCTAGGACTGGGAACCGCCACAGGTCCGGGTGGGAGGATGTGCGATTTGTGTTGGGGGCTGGTTCTGTCCATGCTGGGGTTGGAGGAGCCCCCAGGACAGGAAGGCCTTGTTTCTCATGTCATGCAGCGACGTTGTCATTAAACACGTGGATTCACCCGTGGCTGGGGCTGGCTGGCTGAGGGTCCCCGGCTAGGACGGGGTCATAGTCCTGCCCTGGAGCCCATATCTGGTCCTGGAGCTGCAGAAGCAGCTTCTGAGGGGCTTCCCAGGCCGGCGTTTGACAGATGGGGAACTCAGACCTCGAATCCCGCAAGACACCCCTCCTGGGCCCATATACCAGGGCACCGGCCACAGTCCTGTGGGGCCAAGGACTGGACCCCAGCGAGTCCCTGGGCCCCAGCCAGATGGCCCTGTTTTGGGGAGGAGGTGCTTGCCTGACTCCATCGGTTGACGCCAGGGAGGGAGGCTGGAGGCACTGCTGGGCTGAGGTCACCGCAGGGCTGGCGGGGGCCAGGAGGGACAGAGCAAGTGGGGTGTAAAGGCTGTGGTGGTGGGAGGGGCCCATGGAGATGAGGCAGGGCTTGTGTAGAATGGGGGCTTTGGTTCCCCACAGACCAGGACAGCCGAGAGGGGCTGGAGGGTCCCCAGGGGAGCAGATGTCAGGCCTGGGGATCACGTGGGTCACACAGCAGTGCTGGGGCAGTCATCTCTGCTGCTGTCTTCACTTGACAGGCAGAGCAAGGCCAGTGGGACCATCGCTGCCAGGGCCAACCCTGGAAATGGCTGGAAGATGCCTGGATGGAGGGAGAGGCTGACCGAGGTCCCCATGGGGTGGGCTGCAGCTTTTCTGTCGATCCTAGAACGTAACTGTTGCATTGTGAGGGAAAGAAAATTGAGAAGAAAAAATCAGGGGCTGAAGGTCCTGCAGTGAGACAGATGCAGGAGGCATGAACCTGGCCCAGGGGGTGCTGGCACCTTGCTAGGGCTGGGAGGCGGCTGAGGGAGGCAAGCGGCCTGGGGGCGGCAAGCGGCCTGGGGGCCAGGGGCTGCAGGCCGTCCGCAGGTGGTTTTGAGGCTTTTGCATGGTGCCTGAGAAGAGGCAGGTCCCATCCTGGGCACTGGAGATGAGGGAACACCTGTGTGGAACTGGCATGGTGGGCAGCCTGGAGACAGGAGCTCATGAGGACACAGGGCGGCAGCGCCACCAGGACGGGGAGGGCCCCGGAAAAGGGTGGCCTTGGATCAGGGGCTCACCACAAGCCTAGCATTTCAGCCAGGGCTGGAGAAGGCAGGGACGCCTGGGTGCCAGGCAGAGGGCATAGCCATGTAAAGGCCCCAGAGCAGGGCGGCACCCGGTGTATGCGAGGGGCAGAGTGAGGAGGGCAGGGCATGCAGTGTCTGGTAGGCCTCAGGGAAGACTTGGGTGCTCACCCCAAGCGAGTGGGGACCCTGGGCGTGTGCCCTGGGAAAGGCAGGGTCGTCTCTGTGGGGACCTGACTGACACAGGGGCAGGGGAAGCCGAGACCAGGGTGCGGGCTCTGCCCCCACCCAGGCCGGATTCGACCCAAGACGGGGCCCTCTGGCTGAGGAAAGGCAGGGCAGGAGGGTTCTGGATGTCTCCTGGTTTTTGTTGTATGGTTTTAATTGTGGTAAAATACACATAAATCCACCATCTTACAGTTCTGTGGCTGTGCAGCCATCGCCTCTGATTCCAGAACATTCTCATTACCCAAAAGGCAGCCCCATCCCCATCACATCACCTAGTCAGTCACTCCCGGGTCCCCCTCCCCAGTCCTGGCACCCACGAATCCTCTCTGTGCCTCTGTGGTTCAGCCTGTCCTGGACATTTCATAGAAGTGGGATCACAGTGTGGCCTTCTGTGTCGTGTCTGGTTGAGCATGACGCCCTCAAGGTGCATCTGCGCTGGGGCCCGGGTCAGAGTCTCGCTCCTCCTGTGGCTGAGACTCATTCTGGCGCGTAGGTGGCTGCACACTGCTGATTCCCTCACCCTCAGTGGGTGTTTGCGTGGTCTCTGCCATGGCTGTCGTGAATTGTGCTGTGTGAGGCACCGCGTGCCCTTCTCATCCTGAGTGTATTTTCCAAAGGAACTGTGTGCGAGTGGCTGATGAGGGGTTGGGGCGCCAGGTGCCTGTGTGGGCATTGCCTCCTGGATGCGAGGTGCACGGGGAGACAGAAGCCCCTCGAGGGGGTGTGGAGATGGGGAGGCTAGGCCCCCAGTCGGCGGTGGCGGGGGGCGCACAGAGCTGGGGGCTCATGGCCACAGACCCCACCTGGCAGCGGCCCTGGCCTGGCCCGCCCACACTGCATCACCCTCAGTTGTCAGACACTGCGAACAACTCTCCAGGCCTCCCCTTCCTTGGGGCCGCCTCACCCTGCAGTTGGGAGGAAGGAGCGGTCAGTGCAATTGCCGTGACACTGGGCGGCCTTTATGCTGTCAGCGGTGACCTCAGAGGCCTTCCTAGTAGAAGCCCTGGGGACTCAGGCAGACAGGCAGACATGCAGACCCTGAGGCGAGAGGCTGCCAGGCCCTATGTCCCCACGGGGACCCTCGAGACCAGCTTCCCAGCACCTCTCTACAGGTGAGTCCCTCCCAGCCAGCCGGATGCTAAGGGAACCTCCCTCACGGGGTGTAAGGTGTCACTCGGGTGTCGGGTGTCACTTTGGGGTCTTGCATGTATCACTCATTATTCCTAAAAGGCTCATGTGTGTGATGGCCCCTCCGGCCTGTGGTCACTCACTGTGGCAGCGACAGACTTGGAGACAGGCCGAGAGCAAAAGTGTGTGTGGCCGTTTCCAAGGCTGCAAATGCACTGGAGTTTTCACCACAAAAACGCCCTCTGAAATCAGGCGTGCGCGGGGCTGGGTGCTCTGTGGCTGAGGTAGTCTGCCCTGCTCCCCTCGCAGCACCCAGGCACTCCTGCTCCCTGGTCCCCGGTCCCTGCTTGTCTTCACCGGGCCTTCTTGTGTGTGTCCACATCTCCCTCTCCTTAGAAGGGCACCGGGCACTGGATTCAGGGCCACCTTAACACGGGGTTACTTCATCTTAGCTGCAGCTACTAAAACCATTTCCAAACAAGGCCGTGTCCTGGAGCTCTGGGCAGATGTGATTTGGAGGGTACAACAGTCACCCCAATACAGAGTCTGTTAGCAGTTGTTGAAATGATTATGTAATACTGTGCAGCTATGGGAAAGACGACGGAAAGCGTTTGCTGCATTTCCAAGGGAAAAAATCAAAACAAACCAAGATGGTGGCTGGGCTTGGTGGCCCCCAGCTGTAACCCCAGCACTTTGGGAGGTTCACTTGAGCCCAGGAGTTCAAGAGCAGCCTGGGCAACATAGTGAGACCCCATCTCTTTTATTTTTTTTAAAGACAGTTTTGTTCTTGTTACCTGAGCTGGAGTGCAAAGACGCGATCTCAGCTCACTGCAGCCTCCGCCTCCCGGGTTCAAGGATTCTCCTGGCTTAGCCTCCCAAGTAGCTGGGACTACAGGTGCCTTCCACCATGCCCAGCTAATTGTTATATTTTTAGCAGAGATGGGGTTTCACCAGGTTAGCCAGGCTGGTCTTGAACTTCTGACCTCAGGTGATCCACTCACCTCGGCCTCCCAAAGTGCTGGGATTACAGGCGTAAGCCACTGCATCCAGCCGTGAGACCCATCTGTACAAAAAAACTTAAAAATCAGCCAGACGGCCAGGCATGGCGGCTCATGCCTGTAATCCCAGCACTTTGGGAGGCCGAGGCGGGCATTATCACCTGAGTTCAGGCTTTGGAGACCAACCTGAGCAACGTGGTGAAACCCCATCTCTACTAAAAATACAGAATTAGTTGGTCATGGTGGCACAGGCTTGTAGTCTCAGCTACTTGCGAGGCTGAGGTGGGTGGACTGCTTGAGCTCAGGAGGTCAAGGCTGCACTGAGCTGAAATAGTGCCACTGTACGCCAGCCTGGGCAACAGAGTGCGACACTATTTCTACTAAAAAAAAAAAAAAAGAGAGAGATGGAGATGCAGTGACCCGGGCTCCCGTGCGTGTGGAGTAACCGGGGGAGGGTGCATGTCCCACCTGCTCCGGGAAGGAGACGCCAGGAAGTAGTGAGTGGCAGGTGGGTATGGGCCCAACAGCAGGGAGAGGCGCTCATTTCTCACCGATTATTATTTTGTTTTAATTGCATGGTTTTTTTTTTTGAGATGGACTCCCTTTGTCTTACCCAGACTGGGCATAATGGCGAGATCTCAGCTCACTACAACCTCCACCTCCCAGATTCAAGCAGTTCTCCTACCTCAGCCTCCCGAGTAGCTGAGACCACAGGAACCTATCACCACACCCATCTAACTTTTGTATTTTTAGTAAAGACAGGGTTGCACCATGGTGGCCAGGCTGACCTCAGGTGATCCACTTACCTTGGCCTCCCAAAGTGGAGAGCCAGGACCGTGCTCCCACACAAGGCACAGATAAGAGTGTTTCTATCCCTGCCGGAACTACACAGGGCCAACCACGTTACTCTTTGGGGTGACTTCCTTGGGACATATTCCCAAAAGCAAAGTCACAGCATGAAACTTTCCCCCCCCCCCCCCCCCCGAGACGGAGTTTCGCTCTTGTTACCCAGGCTGGAGTGCAATGGCGCGATCTCGGCTCACCGCAACCTCCGCCTCCTGGGTTCAGGCAATTCTCCTGCCTCAGCCTCCTGAGTAGCTGGGATTACAGGCACGCGCCACCATGCCCAGCTGATGTTTTGTATTTTTAGTAGAGACGGGGTTTCACCATGTTGACCAGGATGGGCTCGATCTCTCGACCTCGTGATCCACCCACCTCGGCCTCCCAAAGTCCTGGGATTACAGGCGTGAGCCACCGCGCCCAGCCCATGCAACATCTTTGAGTCTCTTGTCTTTTTTTTTTTTTTTTGGAGACAGACTGTCACTCTATTACCAGGCTGGAGCGCAGTGACACACTCTCGGCTCACAGCCACCTCCACTTTCCAGGTTCAAGCAATTCTCCTGCCTCAACCTCCCGAGTAGCTGGGATTACAGGCACCCGCCACCACACCTGGCTAAGTTTTGTGTTTTTAGTAGAGATGGGGTTTCACCATGTTGGCCAAGCTAGTCTCAAACTCCTGACCTCAAGTGGTCCATTCACCTCAGCCTCCCAAAGTGCTGGGTTTACAGGGGTGAGCCACATGCCTGGCCAAGTGGGTCCCCCAGTCCTCCCTGGGCCATGGCTCCACTTCTTCCTGGTGCACCTCCAGGCCAGGTGGAGCTTCCCGGAGGAAGGGACTTGTGGGTCTTGGAGGCTGGACAAAGACTGTAGGGACCCAGGAGTGGCCAGGGCCCTCGACCTTTTCCCTCCCTAGTATCTCTTCTCCAGGCAAGAAAGGCTGAGAACAGAAAGGTTTAGTGCTGGCCGAGTGCGGCTGCTCACCCCTGTAATCCCAGTACTTTGGGAGGCCGAGGCGGCAGCTCACGAGGTCAAGAGATAGAGACCAGGCCAACGTGGTGAAACCCCATCTCTAGTAAAAATACAAACATTAGCTGGGCATGGTGGTAGGTGCCTGTAGTCCCAGCTACTTGAGAGGCTGAGGCAGGAGAATCGCCTGAACCCGAGAGGCGGGGAGGTTGCAGTGAGCTGAGATTGTGCCGCTGCACTCCAGCCTGGAGACACAGCCAGTATCCATCTCAAAAAAAAAAAAAAAAAAAAAAAAAAAAAAAAAAGTTCAGTGCTGACGTGGGTACCGGGGGTGGGATCTGTGGGGGGAGAGGGAGTCAGCCTCTCTCCTCTTTAGGACAGACACCAAGTGGGGAGGGAGGGTGGCCCCAGGCTGTGGGCCAGGCCTCTACACCCTCCACCCTGGCAGACATGGAAAGCGCCCGTTACAGAGACAGGCTCAGTCTCTGCCCCACCGCCCACCCTCAGTGATGACTACCTGTCCCTGGAGGGGCCACGCTGGGCACCGGCCATCAAGCAGGCCACACGCTGGAAGTACACGCCCATGGGACACGACGCAGCCGGCCAACTGTGGTACACGGGCTTGACCAACTCAGACTCCCGGGAAGCCTGGTACAACCTGCCCTCGGCCCCGGACCGCCCCTTCCGTGAGGCCTACAACCACTGGCACGGCTGCCACCGACACCGCGAGTGCCGCCTGCCCTCGGGTGAGTGCCCACCCTCCCTGCCCCGGATGCCAGCCCTGCTCGAGGGGGAAAGGAATGACTGCCAGCCCCCGCCCCACTGCAGCCTACGCCCAGCACCTGCGGGAGACCACCTGGCATGACCCGATCGTCCCCGCCCAGTACCTGGACCCCAGCACCCGGTGGGGGAGCATGCTGTGGAAGGAAAGGCCAATCCGGGGCAAGGACTACGGTGAGGCCGGGGCCAGGGCAGCTCCCCGGGAGGCCAGGGGGACAAGCCCATCTAGGCCAGGGTGAAGTTGCCCAGGGAGGCCCGGGAGCCCCTTGCGGGCCGAGGGTGAGGACAGTGGGGCACACAGTGACCCAGGTCCCACCTGCAGTGGTCAACAGGAATCGGTACGGGGTGGAGCCTTTGTGGAGGGCATCGGACTACGTGCCCTTCCTGTCAGCACCCCAGCGCCCACCCCACACCACCCAGAACTACTTGCAGTGGGGCCTGGAGCCATACTGCCCCTCCACCGGCCAGCGGCTCCCACCCGGCCCCACGCCTGCTCCCCGATAAACACACGCTTCCACGCCACACCTGCAGTCTTTCTGCACCCAAAGAGGGTGGCTACCCACAACTGGGGCACAGCCGAGATGCACAGGCCACCCCTGCCCGGCAGACAGGAGCCAGGCTGCCGTCGTGTCTTTATTTGCTGCCAGCAGAGCCCACCAAGCCCACCGGGCAGCCCTGCTGCCCACCACCCTGTGGCTGGGGCTCCTGCAGGCTCCAGCCATCCCCAGGCCAGAGGTGAGGGGGTGAACTGTGCTGGGGTTAGGGTTCCCACAGACGCCTCTGGGGTTCCTACTTCCTGCCGAGAGGGGCACCCCAAATCCTCCGGAGGACTGAGATGGACTAGAGTTGAGGATGGGCACCCTAAAAGTCCAGGGGTCCTTGTAAAGCTCTGGATTCAGAAGGCCCTGGTAGGCATTCCCGCTGCCTTCACCTTCACCGTGACTCCCAAGCCCAGGAGCCGGTGCGGGGTGGGGGGCTTTGCCCGTAGGTGCTGGGGGCATCCTGTGTCCCCACATTTCCCTTGCACAGGTGCAGGAGGCTGTCAGCACTCAGGGCTGGGCTTCTGGGTCCCCTGCCAGGGAGAAGTGGAAATGGCATTAGAGAAGGTGGGGTGGGCCCCACGCTTGCCCCTGGTGTGGTCAGCATCTGGGGAGGGAGGGGTGGGCCAGGACTCACAGCGTCGCAAGCGGATGGGCCACAGCAGGAGGCTGCAGAGACACAGGGCCGCAGCCACACCCACGCCGCCCGTCACAGCCACCATCACCCAGTGGTAGAAGCTCACGCAGGCTCTGCAGCAGAGCTCCGAGCTGTGGGAAGAGGCAGGGGCCTAGTGGGCACCACAGGGATGACCCCACCCTACCTGGACCTGTTCCTCCTGTCCAAGCTGAGAGCTGAGGGTCAGCCCCCCTCCTTCCCCACACCCAGCAGGATGGCCAGTCCTCCACCCCGCATCCACTTCTCTCCCTCCCCGTCTCCATATGGTCCAGGCCCAGTGGGGCCCACCTGCACCCACCCCGTCCCCTCACCCCCACCAGCGGGCACCTGTGAGTGCCTGTCCCTCTGCCCACAGCCCACCCTCCTCGGGTCAAAGCCCCAGCCCTTCCCATGGCCCTGCCCCCTCCCCCTCTTCCCTGTGCTCCAGCCACACCAGTCTCCTGGTCCCCGCTCCTCCAACACACCATGTGTGGCCCCACCCCAGGGCTTTGCTACTGCCTGCCCCTCCCCATTGACCTGGAATAGTCTGACTTCCCGCAAGTGTCAGGTCCACACCACCTCCTCCAGAAAGCCCTCCCTGGCATCCTGTCCTGGCTGCCCAGGCCTCTCCAGGGAAAAGGCGTTCACCTCTGTGACCATTAACATAGCTGGCCCTGCCCCAGCCCTGTGAGGTCAGGGCCCAGACAGGCTTTGGTTCCCAGGTCCAGGCCTCTCCAGGCATGAATGCTGGGAGGCTGTGTCTACACCCATCCGTGCCTGAACCCTCTTCCTCAACAAGCGAGCGAATGGACGGCACTCACGGACAGGGGTGCAGGCTCTGGATGGCCATGACTGCCAGCCCGTTGGCCACCTTATCAGAGAAGCTCATGGAGCCATACACGAACGCGCCGCTGTTCTGGGGGGGGACACGGGTGGTCAGCGTGTACCCCAAGTGCTACGCCCAGCCACCCCCACCCCGGCCACCAGCCTTACCGTGTGGGGACCGATGAGGTCGGCCGTCATGGCCAGTGAGGTGACAAGGATGGTGGCACAGCCGGCGCCCAGCAGCACAGCCGCTGCATACACAGCCACACCCAGCCCCTCCATGAGCGCCACCCAGGCCGCAAAGGCCAGGGTCACCAGGAGGCCCAAGAAGTAGGTCATCTGCAGGGGACAGCCCCGGGGTCAGGCCCACAACGCTGGGTGCCACCGAGCCTGGCGCTTGCCCTCTCTGGTCTTCAGTCCACCACCCCTTACCCTGCAAACGGGCTGTGAGCTGGACAGTCACAAAGGAGCGCCGGCTCTGGCCTCGAGAAATCCCAGGCTCTGAGGCCCAGGAGAACTGCCACACAGAGCTGTGCTCTGTCCACGCAATAGTAGCTGGAGACGCGTGCCTATTCCGCCTAAAGGCAGGTCAGGTACACAAAAGCAAACGAGGGACTCGGCTCAGTCCCCCCAGCCACATTTCAAGCGCTCAGTAGCCGTACAGGAGGACAGAAAGCCCCAGAGCTCTGCCGCCACGACAGTGTGAACGTGAGACACGCAGAGGCCAGGGCTCTAGACCTCCTGGTTCCCAGATCCGGGGCTTCTATAAGGTGGGAACTCGGGGGCCTGGGGGCGTCTGAGGCTGGAACCCAACCGCAGGGCACCCCGTCTACTCACGTTCCTCCCTACGCACTTGTTGATGGGTTTCATCAGGAAGGACGAGAAGAAGCCGCTGAGGTACATCACCAGGGGGATCGTCGCAATGAACTTCTGCAGGGACAGAGCCAGGCGCAGCGTGTCTGTCACGGCTTGCCAGGCTGGGGCCGTCTCACCCCCGCGCCCCCGGCCCAACCCATTTACCTTGGGCAGGTTGAGAGAGTAGGTGAGGTACATGGCCATATAGGTCTGAGACAGGTTGACGACGAGCCTGGTGGTCATGTACAGCATGCCCACCTGTGGGCAGACCAACAGAGGGACCAGCTGGGGTCAGGAGGGCCCTTGTCCACTCCCACCAGCAGGGGGCACCGGGGCCTGGGTGGGCACCCTGGAGCTGGCATTTGATCCATGGGTAGTGACTGCCCAGTGGGTTGGGGGAGCAGAGAGCAGTGCTTCATGGGCTGCACCAGGGGCTGTGTGTGGATGCAGCTGTCCCGCAGAGCCAAGGGCCTGGGGGGGGAGAAGGGGCCTGGGGTGGGAGAATGGGTCTGAGCTGGCCCTGCCACCCCCAGCACGCACCTGGTAGAAAGCCGGCTCCCGGAGCCAGTGCTTCCAGAGCAGCAGGGGCTGGGCAACTGCAGGGGCCAACAGGGGGCTGTGCTCGCCCGGCTCCTCCACACGTGGCCGGCGCCTCTCCCGGGTGCCCAGGTGGAACAGCAGTGAGAACACAGCACCAACACCCACCACCAGCAGGGCCAGGTTCTAGGGACGCGGCAGAAGCAGTCAGCAGCTGGCCCAGCACCCGCCCCAGGCTCGAGGACTTCAGGCAACACACCCAGGCCCCAGCTCACCCGGAACACAGGCACGTCCTGGCCCCCCAGCTGGTCACTGATGCTGACGTCCTGGGCAGGCCCCACCCTCGACGAGCCCTGCAGGTGCAGCAGGAGCCAGGCCGCCCCGTAGACAGTGATGTTGGCCACCACGGTGAACGCATACCTGGTGGGCAGGCGGGCAGGGACTCAACCAGACCCTGGGAACCTGGGCCCCTTCTTCCCCAAGTGGCTGCGCCGTCCCAGCGCCTTGCGGAACCCCGGCTGCTGGGAGATTCCAGCAACTCCCACACTGGGTGGCCTCAGTTTCCCCAGCCCGCAAGTTGTCTGAGACGGGGCAGCTGTGACCCGCAGCTCCACCCTTCCCGCCTAGGACCAGCATGCAGTTACTCAGCCAAGCAGAGTCCAGGCTGCAACCCAAAGAACCCAGAGACTCGAAGCCAGGATTCGGGAATAATTCTTCCCCAGATGCTGGGTGGCTGCAAGGCAAGGGCTCCCTGGTCTAGAAGCCTAGACAGGCAGGGAGCCGGAGCTGGGGGCCTGGGGAGTCCCACCATGCCTCAGCTTCCCTTTCTGAAAGCAGGAACTATGCCCCCGACCCCCGTCAAGGCCACGCACGTGTGCACGGCGGGAGGTCAGCTGACAAAGCGCAGCCGGCTGGCACATAGGAAGTGGCTGGGGTCTGGCTCCCGTCAGCTGGGGCCCTGGGTATTGGGAAACCCCTGTCGTTACTGCCTCTATCTGCCTCACAGCCGTAATGGGGAACTGAAAGCCAGGGGAGGAGGCCAGAGTGGGCGGGGCTGGTGACACAGGCGGGGGGGCAAACAGGGGGCTCCCCCCACACCCCCTTCCTGATGAAGGCACTGTGGGGACCCTGGCTTTGGGCACCATTTGGGGCCATGTCCTCCTCTGGAATACTCGGGAAGGAACAGTTCCCACCTCCCAGTTCACAGGGAGGGTTAAAGACGCTGAGATTGAAGGGGCGGCCCAGTGGCTGACACCTGTAATCCCAGCAGTTCAGGAGCCCGAGACAGGCAGATTACGTGAGGTCAGGAGTTCAAGACCAGCCTGGCCAACATGGTGAAACTCTTTCTCTACTAAAAATACAAAAATTAACTGGGCATGGTGGCACACACCTGTGAGCCCAGCTACTTCAGAGAATGGGACAGGAGAACTGCTTGAACCTGGGAGGCAGAGGCTGCAGTGAGCCAAGATCACACCACTGCACTCCAGCCTGGGCGACAGAGCAAGACTCTGTCTCAAAAATATAAAAAGAGGGGAGACTAGTGGGTGGGCCTGCTGAATCAGAGGATCCTTTGGGAGACAGGGCTTCCTGAAATCAGAGATTCTCCCTCCTGGCCTCAGAAGCAGCAGCCAGCCACCGTGACTTCCACAGGTGGAAGATGACAAATTCCACCAGCAACCACGGAGGAGGTGCCACCCCAGCCTTCCATGAGACCCTAGGCCTGGGCAACCCCTTGAATGCAGGCTCAAGACAGACCCTGAAGCACAACTCCCACCCGCAGCTCAGCCACGCTGGATCCCGACCCCTAGAAACCATGAGAGGAGAATGTGTGATGGCCAGGCACAGTGGCTTGGAGGATCCCTTGAGCCCAAGAGTCCCCAGCCCAAGCAACATAGCGAGACCCCATCTCTACAAAAACTTTAAAAACCAGCTGGGTGTGATGACATGCTCCTGTGATCCCAGCTACTCGGGAGGCTGAGACAGGGGGATTGCTCAAGGCCAGAGGTCAAGGCTGCAGTGAGCTGAGATCGAGCCACTGCACTCCAGCCTGGGCAACAGAGCAAGACTCCAACTCAAAAAATAAACAAATAAATAGCATAAATTAAAACTGAACATAAAAGACTGGTCTCGAGCGCCTATGTCTGTGGTGTCATCGGCTCATAAGCCAGGCCCACCCCACCCGGCCCTCGGGGGCCGGGCTCCCACCTGAGTGCCGTGAGTTCCACCTTCTCGTGGGCGTTGGTGACGAGCTCCGGGATGAGGCTGAGGTGGGAGATCTGCGTGGAGGCCCAGCCAAACTGGAAGATCACGATGAACGGGCCGTAGTACAGGAGCGCAGCCCACTCCGGCGTGGCGGCCCCACAGCCCAGGCAGGGGCTGAAGATGAAGGGGAAGGACAGCAGGACGCAGACGGTGCCTGTGGACGGGAGGGGGTCAGTCACGGGGCCTTCCTGCACCAGCCAGGGCTCCTGGGGTGGGGACACTGAGGCACAGATGGAGATCCCCCCTCCCGCCAGGCACGCAGGAAGAAGCGAGGGTCTGCAGCCAGCGTTTCCCAGGCTTATGGCCCCTGGTCACAAAAGGGGAAACAGACCAGGTCCCCGGGCTTAGTAGTCAGAAGAACCGGGGCACGGGAGATTCCCCGGAAACCTGCCCCACACAGGTGCCCCAGTTACAGCCACGGCCTCCTCCCACTCCTCCCCCTCGGCCACTGTGAACCCTCCTGTGGGGCCTCAGGAAGTGGGACGCCCTGGTGGGGCTGCGCTGGACCCGGCCCTCCCTGAGCTCCCCATCCCTGTCAGCTCCTAAGGTGACCACTCCCTGAAACACTGGGCCTCCCGTGTGCAACCGAGCTCCTGCCCCCAACCGAGATCCGCTGTGCCAAGCCCTGGCTTTTCACATGCTCAGGGAAAAAAGACCCTAAGACCCTTTGTAACAAATGTCAGATCCTCCCTGCAGCCCATGGAGCCCTGTGGGACCTGCCCCGTCCCCTCCCTGCCCTGCCCTCTCCCGCCCACTCCGCTCCAGCCACGTGGCCTCCTCACTGTTCCTCCAACTGCCCCCGGGCCTTTGCACAGGCAGGCCTCTGCCAGGAAGAGTCTGGCTCTCACATCTTGGCAAGACCAGCTCCTTTTCACCTCTCAGCTCAACCGGAATGTCACCTCCTCAAACACCTCCAGCAGCCCCTGCTGCCCCGACCTCACGTCAGCACGCCCAGGAATTCTTTGTCTCTCCACTGGTCTCCTCTGCACACAGCAGGCTCCAAGGGGCCTGGGGAGACCCAGCACGGAACTCAGTACTTCAGTACCCCTTTTTTTTTTGAGACTGAGTCTGGCCCTGTTGCCCAGGCGGGAGTGCCATGGTGCAATCTCGGCTCATTGCAGCCTCCGTCTCCCAGGTTCAAGCGATCCTCCTGCCTCAGCCTCCCATGTAGCTGGGATTACAGGCACCTGCTACCATGTCCAGCTCATTTTTCTATTTTTGGTAGTGATGGGGGTTTCACCAAGTTAGCCAGGCTGGACTCGACTCCTGATCTCACGTGATACGTCCTCCTTGGCCTCCCAAAGTGCTGGGATGACAGGCGTGAACCACTGCGCCCCGCTGTTCCTTCAGTACCTTCTGAGTGAGTGAACTGTAACAATCGTGGTCCTGACGCAGCCAGGAGGCGTGGGTGTCATCCTGTTTTCCAGATTGGAAAACTGAGGCCTCTAGACTGAGCTGGAGCCAGGCCCCTTCCCTGCAGCCGGGCACTGCTCTCCCCCCCGCCTAGAGCACCTGGGGGGATGCGTGTACCAAGCATGGCGGCTGAACCTCCTTCCTCCCTGCAGGCTCCGGAGGTGACCTCATCCCCAGACCCTGGGACCGTCCCGGACAGCTGGAATTGGGAAGTGAAACCAAAAGCACCCCTTCCTGGCGGTTTCCCTGGAACTAGGGCCTGGGAGGGTTTGTACAGATTCCTGGGGTCCTGGGGCTCATCCGGGGGCAAAGCACAGACTGTGGACTCTGGTGAGAAGGTCCCTTCCTGGCTGGACTCCCTGCTCCTGCTAACCAGTCTGGGTTAACCATTGCTGGGGCCAGGCGGCCCGGCCGGGGGACTTTGGGCAAGTGACTGTGCCCTTCTAGGCCTCCGTTTTCACACAACAGGGACAGTGGCCAGGAGTGGCGGCTCATCCTGTAATCCCAGCGCTGAGGGAGGCTGACGGAGGAGGATCACTTGAACCCAGGAGGTCGAGGCTGAAGTGAGTTGTGATCACGCCACTGCACTCTAGCCTGGGTGACAGAGCGAGACCCTGTCAAGGAAAGAACAAACGAAAAGAAGGGAGAAAGAATGGAAAAGGGAAAAGGAGGCCGGGCGCGGTGGCCCACGTCTGTAATCCCAGCACTTTGGGAGGCTGAGGCGGGTTAGGAGGTGAGGAGTTCAAGACCAGCCTGACCAACAAGGTGAAACTCCGTCTCTACAAAAGATACAAAACTTAGCCAGACTTGGTGGTGGGCGCCTGTAGTCCCAGCTACTTGGGAGGCTGACGCAGGAGAATCGCTTGAACCCGGGAGGCGGACATTGCAGTGAGCCGAGATCCCACTACGGCGCTCCAGCCTGGGCGACAGAGCGAGACCCTGTCTCAAAAACAAAAAAGAACAGAAAGAAAGTTCGTGCGCCACAGGCTGGAGTGAGGATAGAGTTCACGTGCGGTGCCAGCAGACGCTCCTTCTCCTCTGAACTTCCTGCTTCCGCAGCTTCAAAGTGAGGGCGGTTCCTACCTTGCCGCAGCTCTTTCTGCTATTTGGAATACACCCCACCTCCACACACTCCTACCCATCCTTCAAAACCTCAAAGTTAACGTCCTTCTTCCTTCTAAAGCCCATTCATGCCATCTGCCCACCCACAGGAGTGTTTGTGCCTGACTCTCAGGGTCTTTCCAGGATTGGCGGGGAGTCCCCCAGGACTAGCTGCGGAGCATGGGGAGTCCTTAGCCACCAGCCCCAGACTTGGGGCTGAAATAGAGAAGTGGGAGCTGCTGTCAGGGTGAGCTCCACTCCAGTCACCTGACCAGGCATCAAGAGCAGCTGCCTGGGCTTCCACTCCCAACAGACCCTCTCGACCCTCCAGCCCCACCCAGGTGGCCCCCGACTCTCGGCTCCGGGGGCAGGTGCCCTCCCCCCAGACAGGGAAGAGGGTGAAGGCAGAAGCCTGCTGTCTGGCTGGAACACCGTTCCCCCAGGCCTGCTTTGGAAAACCATAGCCTTCAGTTGCCTTTTCTGTTTGTTCTTATTTGCGTTTTTTTTTTTTTTCTTTGAAATGGAGTTTTGGCCGGGCGCGGTGGCTCAAGCCTGTAATCCCAGCACTTTGGGAGGCCGAGGTGGGTGGATCACGAGGTCAAGAGATCGAGACCATCCTGGTCAACATGGTGAAACCCCGTCTCTACTAAAAATACAAAAAATTAGCTGGGCATGGTGGCACGTGCCTGTAATCCCAGCTACTCAGGAGGCTGAGGCAGGAGAATTGCCTGAACCCAGGAGGCGGAGGTTGCGGTGAGCCGAGATCGCGCCATTGCACTCCAGCCTGGGTAACAAGAGCGAAACTCCGTCTCAAAAAAAAAAAAAAAAAAACAAAAACAAAAACGGAGTTTTGCTCTCCCAGGCTGGAGTGCAGCAGCATGATCTCGGCTCACCGCAACCTCCGCCTCCCGGGTTCAAGTGATTCTCTTTCCTCAGCCTCCTAAGTAGCTGAGACTACAGGCGGGCACCACTATGCCCAGCTAATTTTTGTGTTTTTTTGTTTGTTTGTTTGTTTTTTGGAGACAGAGTTTCGCTCTTGTTACCCAGGTTGGAGTGCAATGGCGTGATCTCGGCTCACCGCAACCTCCGCCTCCTGGGTTCAGGCAATTCTCCTGCCTCAGCCTCCTGAGTAGCTGGGATTACAGGCACGCACCACCATGCCCAGCTAATTTTTTGTATTTTTAGTAGAGACGGGGTTTCACCATGTTGACCAGGATGGTCTCGATCTCTTGACCTCGTGATCCACCCGCCTCAGCCTCCCAAAGTGCTGGGATTACAGGCGTGAGCCACCGCGCCCGGCCCATTTTTGTGTTTTTAATAGAGATGGGGTTTCGCCACGCTATCCATGCTGGCCTCAACCTCCTGACCTCAGGTGATCTGCCAGCTTGGCTTCCCAAAGTGCTGGGATGGGAGGTAGAGCCACCGCCCGGGTACTAGCAGCCATCCTGTGTGTCTGTCATGAGCTTATCCAACTACCATGATCAAAGACGCATTTGAAGCCCTGGGTTCCGCTC